TTGGGTTTTTATTGTGTCCACATGACAGTTAGATCCTCCTTATTGTTATTTGTCTGTTTAACTGCATTTTTGTGTCAGTYTGTATTCTGGTCTTCTGAAAACTGTGACATTGTGGCACTCAAGGTTCAGGACTTTGTTCAACAAAACTTTAAAATTTGACACAGTGACTTATTTTTCTTTAGCGTATTTTTCATCTGGGCTTTTGTCTGCCTGTCTTATAARAGTGTGCAGGAAGTGAGAGATACAGATATGTTGCCACTGAACCACTGGCAGCAGCTCTAACTTTAATTTGAACTTGTTGGTTTGGGTATTATTTTTATTGCTTGAGCAGGTTAAAACTTAAAAATATGTAATTTTTTTAAATTAGTTTTGAATATTACAAAATAAAAGTCTGAAACATTTATAGAAGAACATTCAGGCATTAACAGTTTTGCCACTCTTCAAAATATCTTCAAAACMTTTGCTTATGTTTATCCCTGCATATCTGTAATATTTGAAAAGAGGTCATTAAGAGCTGGTAACAGTGATGAGCTTGACTGAAAAAAACAAAAATCTTTGGCTGTCAGCAGAGAGATACAAAATTGTTCTCTTACTTTTAATTTTTTTCATTTTGCAGCTGAACAATTTTGTTATGTCTCGGATCAAATGCAGCCTTCTCAAGACTAACCTGATTCCCACAGTTTTAAGKCAACCCTACCACTTAGACGGTAATTGCACATTCCTAGCTGAACTGGCGGRACAAAGCACTTCACTTCAAGCACAGATTAGCTGCGGTGCAGCTGAGCTGTTTGCCTCTTGTTCCAACCACAGTGACATAGTAATAGCTGATTTGTGGAGCAGAGAATCTGTGCAGGGGAGCTTCTCGTGAGGGGAGGTTTACTCATTTCCTGGTATGAAAATATCTGCAAAAGTGGCGTCCCAATAGGTACCAGGTTCAAGGTAAWTTGGCCCACAGAGTTCAGCTCTCCAGACTGCAGCTTCACACCTAACAGCACATTTGGAAAGAATTTTCTTTCAGATGTTATAATGAAATCAGATGTGGCATTTTTTTCTACCAAAAATAAATAAATAAATAAATAAAAACGAGAAAGAAATGAAATATAACTCAAAAGTCCAGCTCCACCACCCCTAACCCAGCCAGGCCACCCATTAGTGACACTTTCAGGTGTTCCCCATCAGAACCTCTTTCCTCAGGCAGGCAGAGAGAACTATGGAACCAGTTGCATACTGGGGAGAATGTTCAGAACCAGGAGAGGTCAAAGGTCAGGGATGAAGGGAGGAACTGCTGACATGCTGCAATCTTTGAGTCATTGAACACATTTTTATATCATGTTGAATAAAGGTTTTCAAACGCGACTCTCACATCAGACATATTTTTAATGTTTGATCCATTTTTAAATATTTTGAAAATTAAATAAAAATAAAATAATTTAATTATAGATTGTTCTTGAGGTGGGATAAAAATGCATTTATTAATTTCATCCCTTTTATTTATTTATTTACAACCCATTACATCGAACCAAGGATCAAGTCACAAAGTGGTAGGGGTGTAACAATACATCAATCTACATCAATATATCTATTAAATTATTAATGATTCGATTACATCAAGGCAAAAACAAAGACATCATACAGATCAAGCCTGATGTAGATTGATATTGTGCCCATCTGACACAATATGTATGAGTGTGTTAGATGAGCATATGATATCGCATCATATTGATTGCAGACTGAAACTAAACTGAATCAAAATTATATTATGTGAAAGTTGGTGATTTACATCCCTATAATAAAGACAGCTGTAGTTCACTGGCAGAAAAATGGGCTGTTATTGCATTTTGTCAAAATATGATGCATCTAGGGGTCATTCATATGTTTCCCGGTACAATGCCTGCACTCAGTAATTGTTTTCATTTGTTTTAATAGACAGTTATAGTGGGAGCTTTAATGATTTTTATTATTCCTGGTKCAACATATGTGCCAGGGAACATAGATACTGAAAAACATAGGTATGAACCCATGAATCTATGGGGCCCATGAATGAAATGTCCAAAATATGATCTTTAAGAATATTTTTGAAACATTTTCCTGAGCAATACCAACAAAAAAACAAGATTTTGAGAAGAAAAGCCTTGAAGCTGCACTATTTTCTCGACATTGTGCCAAAGCTTTTTTATCTTTTCAGCTGGGAAATCCGTCCGTTTTCTTCCACTTATCTGGGGTCGGGTCTCGGGGGCAGCAGCCTGAGCAGAGAGACCCAGACTTCCCTCTCTCCAGACACTTGGGCCAGCTCATCCGGGGACATCTCAAGGCATTCCCAGGCCAGCTGAGAAACATAGTCCCTCCAGCGTGTCCTGGGTCTTCCTCTGGGTCTCCTCCCAGTGGGACGTGCCCGGAACACCTCACCAGGGAGGCGTCCAGGAGGCATCCTAACCAGATGCCCGAGCCACCTCAACTGGCTCCTCTTGACGTGGAGGAGCAGCGGCTCTACTCTGAGTCCTTCCCGGATGACTGAGCTTCTCACCCTATCTTTAAGGGAGAGCCCAGACACTCTTCAGAGGAAACTCATTTCGGCTGCTTGTATCAGCGATCTCGTTCTTTCTGTCACAAAGCTCGTGACCATAGATCATAGATGAGGGTAGGAACGTAGACTGACTGGTAAATCGTCTTCACCACGACAGACCGGTATAGCACCCACATCACTGCAGACACAGCACCAATCCGCCTGTTGATCTCCTGCTCCATTCTTCCCCATTTGTGAACAAGACCCCGAGATACTTTAAAGGGCCAATATTATGTGTTTCTCAGGCATATATTTAAATACTGTACCATAATAAAGTATCTATGTCACCTTTATCTG